AAAGTATCTTTTTAAATTAATCAGCTCAGGCATATTATGGCACCTCTCTGTGACATGTTGAACTTAGACCATCTACCAAAATGTATGGACACGATCAATGTTTCACAAGACTTTTTAAACATGATAAGTTTATGGAGGCAGTTTCCATTGCAGATTTTCATCTTCACGTTTGTAACGTTGATATAGAAATAGAGAGAGGACAAATGCTTTACAATGGGAACTGAATTACGTCTATGATGCCTCGATCCAAATATTTTGCAGCTTCTTACTTGCTCAATCTGAAGATTTCGTTTAATCTTGATGCCTTGAGCTGATATTTAATCTGAAATCAGTGCTTGTTTGAGGGGCTTTTGGTTGTTTAAAGTACAAAAATCTGAATCCAAACTTCTCGGCTCATGCCCTGCTTCTTTCACCCACTTCCTGTTTTATCATGAAGCTGGAGTTTGTGCAGGAGACTAGCCCATTTCAAGGAGGTTGGTTGTTCCTTTAACCCTCAGTCATTCCAGCATTTTTCTTTTGGCAGCTTCATCAAAGGTCAGGACTTGGCAGAGTCACAAGGTGAGCATCTTCAAACCTGGTCACAGGTGCCTGCCTGACACCTTCCTCAACTGGGTCCCACTCTTGCCCATGAGCTTTCACCCAATTCCAAGCCCCAAGGCCCCTGATCTCCTTCCACCATCATTCCCCTGATTTTCTTGCATTACCAAGACCACTGATTCTCTCCTTTCATCCACCACCACGCAGCTGCTGATACACTATACCATTCCTGTGGCCTCCACACCACCATCACTCCAAGCACAAGGTAACTCTCCATCCCCCATCCCAATCCCCAACTGAGGCCTTCCAATTCCCTTTTGAGCCTACAATCTTCCCCACGATGACGCATCCCAACCTCCTTCTGGTTAGGTTCCCGAAATCCGTTCCACGCCGACCAATAACCCTTCCCATTCCATCCCAAATTTCTGCCTCTGTCCTGAGCATAGACATATCAGTTTCTGTCGCTGTCACTGTTACGCCGTTGTATGTACCGCTAAGATGTAACCGCACATGTCTTTGTAGCATCTCAATCACTGACAGTGGGCCTCATCAGAAATGGGAATCTTTGTATTTAAATGGGCTGAGATTCAAAGTTCATCAGCTGCTGGATATTGTTGGAGTCAGATAGAGAGAAGGAGCGAAAGGAAACATATTTTGGAAAACAGAAAAGAAGGTTAAAAAAAACATAGGATTAAGTCAAGAGTTGTAAGATTTTATTGCCAGTGTGAAGCCCCACTAGTCATCAGTATAGGCAACAGAATCATTTTGCAGCTGTCTTGATGACCTATAACCATGCAAAGCCAGACTTTACAACAGTGGTTAGACCTCAAAGGTTTCAGCTCCATTTAATTTCTTTTTAATATGTATGGCCCCTGAGTAAATCACTGCCCAAGGCTATGGAGCTGAACAAAAAGTTTAGTGGTACCTAATTACACCAAACACACAGAAACAGTATTTAATACAAATGCACTTTCATATCCAGAAAGTCAGCAGGGGAAGGATAGCATTGGGAACCAATATTTAACAAACATTTATGTACAGAGATACACGTTTCAAACAAGCACCTCCCAATCCAACAACAGATCCACTCTGTTCCTGTTTGTATATTTTTTAAAAAGATTGTACAGTTGCAGAATGTTTGACACACAAATTGGGATTTATATATATTCCTTCTAGCTCAAAGGTATGGATACTACCACTGTTCCTATTTATGGCAGCGCAAATAAATACCCTGTTCATGGCTACTGACTGTAGACAATTAAACACAATTAATAAATAAATTACACAGTCGTTTTTTTAAAGAAATCAATGCATGCGACTACATTTGAAATGAGCATTGACTTATCTCACCTCATTTTCCTCCTTTACAAAAATCTTTGCGTTTATATAGTGCCATTAAAGTAGTAGAACATTTCAGGAACATTATGAAAGAAAGTAGGACACAATCACTGAAGGAGGTACTAGGACAGGTGACAAGCTCAGTCAAAGAGGTAGGTTTTAAGGTTTCAATAGGAGACAGAGGGGTTTTGTGAGGAAATTCCAGAACCTCTCTGAATGGAAGAAATGACTACCAAAGGTGAGCAAGAAAATTGGAGAGGTGAAGGAGGGCAGTGTAGGAGGGAAGCATTGATCTTGGAGGGTCACTGGATCAGAAATCATAGAGGTAGGGAGAGGTAGGTCATGAAGGGATTTGAAAACAAGAATGAGAATCTTAAAATTGACCAGGAGCCAATGCAGGTCAAGGAACATTGGGATATCAATCCAACAGTTAATGAAGATTGCTGGAGAGTACAGTATGATAAATAATGCTTGATTTAGCTTCTGTAGCAACTCTTAACAATATCAGATTACTCTTCCATTGTAGTGGTGTAACCAGAATTTTAATTGTGAAGGTATTTATCTTTCCCAGAGAAGCTGCTGCAGCTGGTCAGATGTTTATATTTAGTTGTCAGTCTCAGACTTTGGCAATGCCAGAGATCAAGGGGTTTCTTCCAATGAGCAATTGCTGAAAATTTCTCCCATCAGGAGGCATTGATGACTGAAGAGATGTCGTATTTAACACGGAATGTAGGTTACTATTTTCAGCAGTTTTGCAAATATAAAAAGAATGATGACAATTCACAGGTGAAGCCGCAGAGAGGCAACGCATGTGCGCGGAAAATAAATCTCATGTTTTCTTCTCCCAGTCGTTACGCAGAATGGTCGGGTTTATTCCAGTCTTTTGCAGCGTTAAACACTGACTGAGCAAAACCCCTTGTGTTTGCTTCGGATTGCTACAAAGCAATTTTTTTGGGCCCTGAATAAATGTGACCAGACAAAATATGAAGTGCATGTTGTGATGCTAGCATCCAGCAGTGATGAGCTGACACACAGAGATGCAAGTTTTGACAGTCTGACATTTAATCACAATCGAATCTTGGATGTTTGCAGTCCTATATGTTCAGGTACATGTAAATTCATGTCTCTGTCTGGTGAGTGGTAGACAAATAGACAAAGTAAAATATACCTGCATCAGTTTGCATTGCTGGTTTTGGTTAGAGATAAAAAGGCTTCCTGAGAAGGTTTAATTACCCCTAGCAAGTGCCCATCACCTACCCTTCCCTCCATGGAGAGGTGAGGCTCAGGAAGTGGAAGGTGAGGTGAATTTCCTCAGAGTTTTATAGAACCATGGAATCCCTACAGTATGGGCAGGAGTGGGCAAGGGCTAGGATGGGGAAGGGAAGAAAGGGGAAGGAGAGAGGAGGACAGGGAAGGCAGAGGAGAGGAGGAGAAGGACAGGAAGAGCAGGGGAGAAGGGTGGGAGGAGGAGAGGGGAGGGGAGGAAAGAGAAGAGAGAATCAAGGGAGATGAGAAGGGGAGGGGAGGGAAGAGGAGGAGACTGAATGGAGGAGCAGAGAAGAGGAGAAGAAGGGGGGAAGGTGTGAGGAGGGGGTGAGAGGGAGAACAGGAAGGGAGAAGGGGAGTGGGAGGGGGAACGGACCAGGAGGAGAAGAGAAATGAGATGGATGGGAGGAGTGGGGATGCAGCCAAGCTTGGCCACGCCATCGGTGTTGTTGTTTGACTGGGTGCCACTAGGACAGGCTACATGCTATGCTACCACTGTGGGAGTATCCTCTCTACAGGGGTACTCCCAGGCACACAAACAGGGGACCAAATGCTGACCATCCAGCCTGCTGCTGGGAGGGTGCCTCCAGCTGGTTAAACTGATGCCTGCAACAATCTGGAGGCTGTCTGGAAAATCCCAGTGATGTCCACCACAGATCCAGAGTGGTCGCCAGTGTAGGAAGGGAGGAGGGCTGTGAAAATTTCATCCCAAGGTGACTGCAGGAGAACCCTCCAAGGTGGCTCAGTGGTTAGCATTGCTACCTCACTGCGCCAGGGACCCGGGTTTGATTCTACCCTCGGGCGACTGTCTGTGTGGGTTTCCTCCGGGTGCTCTAGTTTCCTCCCACAGTCCAAAGATGTGCAGATTAGGTGGATTGGCCATTTAAATTACCCATAGTGTGCATGGATGTGTAGGCTAGGTGGATTAGCCATGGGAGGGATAGGGTGGGATGCTCTTTGGAGGGTTGGTGCGGACTTGTTAGGTCGAATGGCCTGTTTCTACATTATAGGGATTCAATAGCAAAGAAACCCCATGGCTGGTGTCAGTGTTTAGACATTGACTTGCAATAGCCTCTTGTTCCACCACTTGAGCTTTTGCTGCTGAGATTGATCCTGATCTGCTGTATCCAGCCAGGGTTTAGTTACTGAATTGTGACCAGCCTCAGGAGTGCTGCTTGTGTTCACTTTGCCAGTCATGATTCCCCCTCTCCGCTTCAGTGATGCATAGCAAAGCCTGGGCAACAGCTCTCAAACAAACCTCTGAAAGCCTGTTCAGAAATGGTAAAATGTCACCGAATCTGCACAGGGTCAGGGAAAGCAGGTCAGTTTTGCTCCTCCCTAAATTGAGCTGCTTCTGTAGCCCCTAGTGACTGGCAGCTCATTCAGGCCAGATCTGGGCTGTGGGGCTCAGCTGCTGCTGGGATCATTGAGCTGTCTATTCGAGGTGGGGCAGTTTGAAATCTTTTAATTTTTTGCCACCTGGGTATTAAGTAAGCATCCCTGGTGAGTAGGGAACAAAGAAGGGGATGTCTGACTAAGAAGAATTACATCATTCTAGGCTTTTCAAATCCCTCATTTGCATCCTGAAACTACCAGTGTTTCTGTTCATTGAGATAGCACCTTCTGCACAAGCCTCCCTGTAGATTTTCAGTTCCTTTGGTGGCAGAGATTAAAATCCACCAGGTTAGTTATCCTACTTAAATCCTTCCCATCCACACAGTAAAGCAAAAGCTTTATCAAACAATTTTGCCCCATTAGTGAAAAACCTTTGAACCTCAGGATGGCCTGACACCATTACACCCTCCTTAAGGGGGACACGGGGCGCGTGAAGTCAAGAGAGTGGCGAAAATAACGCCGATTGGTGTCGTAAGGTTTAAATTCTGACACTTGCTGCATTGTTCCGGATGCTCTTATTTGCATACAGTGCACAGAAAGAGATTAGACAGAGAATTGAGGTCAAGTCAGCAAGGGCGTCTGCTGAGGGCTACAGCTGCCTCTGAGCAAATAACCCTCGGTACCATTTAGAGCAAGTCATGTGGAGTATGTGGGATTTATTAAGAGCACTTTAGTGGCACAATTTAACATGGTCACAAATACTTTATTCTTTAATGATCCCTAAAAAACATCATTGTTACAAACCATTCCATCTGCGTGCGATGTGGGGGAGGGTACTCAGTGCAGGAATGCTTTGCAAGAAATGCTGATCCTTATGTCAGCTGAGGGACGTTTTACTGAAAGGAGTTGTGTTAGCACAACCAGTTCCCACTAAATGGATAATATTTGTATTCAATTGTCTAAATTAAAAATGAACATTAGTATGCAAATCTTACAGCCGTATTGGAATCATTTTCTCTTGACTTTGCAAATGTTCTTCCTGTGTTGTGGTTAGAGTTTGTGACAGTGCTTTCTCTTTTTAAATTTTATTTTTAGTCAGACCACTGCGTATATTTAAAAAAAGACTCACGACAAGGAATCTTTCAAAGGCTCTTTCAGATAGTGGTGACTGTGCTCGAAGTGTTACAAAGAAAAATAAGGAATTGTTTTAAGGTCACCTCTGCAGCCCATGATGATTGAAATCGGACAACACCTGAAATGTTGAGAGAAGGAATCCAGGCTTTCTCAGGCGATTAATAATGTCCGGGAGATGCTGATAATTCAGCTGGTCTTGTGCAACTTTGACAGTAAGTGACAAAACTGTCAGATCCCTGTTAATTAAACTTGGTTTACCCCCAAATGGCTGACTGCAAGAAAATGACATTTTCATCTCACTCATGGTCTGTATCTCTCACGCAGAACCCGGGGATCACATACTCACAGCCGAGACAAGCATTTCCACTGCTGGTTACATTTCAAAACGAATTCAGTTTGTTGCTACTTGCTGATTTAAATTGTTTGTTTACATGCTGTGCGCTGTTTTGGAGTTGATCCAAAATAGTGTATTTAAGGCCAACACTTTTTTTTGTAAACACGCCCAAAGTTATCATATTCTTCATCAGGGGCACTGCCATTAATTGCCTTTATGCACAACAGCAGTCTCTTTTGCATGTGCCCAAAATTCCTGTTTTAAGCTTTTAAAGCAGTCATGAGATTTGAAGTTGCAAGAGCAATTTAAAAAAAACACTTTAAAAAGTGACATCCAGAACAGAAAACGTTTGTAATTTGGCCGTGAGCTGAAAAGCCGCAGGGATTTCTTCCAGAGGGCGTAGTGGAGGGCAGCAGAAAAAGGGGTTGCTGTTATGAGTCGTCAGAAGACAAGCATCCCAGGATGGTTACAGATGAGCTACAAAGGATGTACAAAAGATGAATGTGACACTCGTTGACAGCAGATCTTCTGGAAGGTGTGGCTGCAAGCAGCAGCAGACGTCTAGTGGGGTAGAACGCCACTCTGAAGGAGTCAATTTGGAGTGCAAAACATGGTGATTTTATCAAGTCAGCATTTACAATGGTTTAAATCAAACGTGAGCTTAAAGGGCAGCCTCTAGGCTTCCTCTGATTTCGATTTTCCAGTTCAACACTTTCAACTTCTCACCTGTCTTTTGAAGCTTTCAAAGCATGGACCTGTTCCTCATTATGTGGACACTTCTAAAACATCTTCTAAACATTTCCAACTGAATTATCAATCTCGCCACTAACTTGCAGAACGGCGCAGGTAAAATTTGAGATATTCCAACATGTTGCACAGATTCTTTTTCCCTCAGTTCTCATTTAGCTGCCATCCAAGCTTCAGTTGCACAGGGGTGTGGAATGGAAGGATTGGTGTCAAAGTGCAGCAACATAGGCATCATACAATCACACCAAAAGGAAGAGTGCCATGCAAGGGCCAGGCACTGCTCACATGGACAGTAGTACATTGATAGGTAAAGTCACTTTGGTTTGATCTTGGGCTTCGAGATAAGGAGGCAGGCACATGATGCAGAACCAAAGGAAAAATAAATGGCTGAATGTTGTCCTTGTTTACAGGTAAGTATGGGGTGGAATGGGACTGAAGATTCTCAGGGAATTGACAGACATGGACTCCACTCCAAAGCCAAAAGTCTTGATTTAATGAAATGAGGAGTGTTCAGGAAAATGACTGTTATGGAGCTTTGCTGGTCAATTGTGGCTTGTCCATTTTATATTAGACAATTTGGGGTGAATAAATTAAGGTGACACTTTCTTTACTTTTCATAAGGCAGTACCCACTGGAAAACCGACAGTGTTTGAGTGCAGGGTGATTTAAATGTCACCCATCAGTTACAAGGCCTCATTGAAAAATCGGCATTTGTTGAATGTTTAGATAGTATCTGACTGTGTAAAGCTCATTCTGCTGGTCAATATCCATAATCCAGGAAGCAATCCCAATATATCGATTGCTTCATAATCCAAGGTGTCTGCATGATTTCATTGGGCAGATGGTCTACATTCATGGCTGTTAAGTCCAATGAAGAAAATACCCTAGGCAGAGTCTCTGATTTCAGCAACTGACCTTCTGCTGCCAATTCCATGAGCGAGGTTTCATCAAGGAAAGAGGAAATTATATCACTTGTAAAGAGGATGCTAATGTTGGACGATAGTTGGCAAGGAGATGCAGCAAGATTTATTAACTTAACTTCAAATAAGACAAGCTAATGACTCCCCCTGGCAGTGCAGCACCTACTCTCCACTGCACTGGGGTGCCAGCCTGGATTTAGACTCAAATCCTGGATTAGGATTTAAAACCAAAACCTTCTGAGTCAGGGAGTGCTAGCCACAGTCGACACATTCCGCAGCGTAAGCTTGAGATCGGCTGTGAAATAAAAGCTAGTCCATTCACCTTGCAGAGGTTCAAAAATTAGGAAAAGCTGAACATTTGCCATTTTAAAATGGGTCTAGCTCATTTAAAAAAAAATGAATCTGGATTTGTAATGTTCAATAGTATCCCAAGAGGCTTTATAGATAGACGTATGGAAAACAGATGCTGAACCAGTAAAGGAGAAATTGGAGTTCTGAGAAAGGGTCACCAGACCCGAAACATTAACTCTGATTTTCTCTTCACAGATGCTGCCAGATCTGCTGAGCTTTTCCAGCAACTTCTGTTTTTGTTTGTGAAGGAGAAATTAGAAACAAGTGATCAAACGCTCGATCAATTAAAACTTCCAGGAAATTTCTAAGGGGTGAGCTAAAGGTAAGGTACATAGGAACAGGAGTAGACCATTCAGCCCCTTGAGCCTGTTCTACCATTCAATGAGATCATGGCTGATCTGTGGCGTAACTCCATATACCTGTCTTTGGTCTTTATCCCTTAATACCATTGCTTAACAAAAAATGTATTGACCTCAGATTTAAAATTAACAAGAGATATAGCATCCACTGCCATTTGTGGAAAATGCTGGGAGAGAGATTTCCAGAAATTAGCACCTTTCAGGATGAAGACTTTGATAGCTTTGGTGAAGCAAAAGTAACGTCAAAAGGATTGAAGTCTTCGAATCAAGAAATAGACATGGTGGTGTAATGCTATGTGACTGTAATGTTGAATTCAAGCCACGCCACGACAAATTGAACATTTGAATTCATTTTAAAGCCTACATCCCGCGAATGATCTTTTCGAAGTATGAAGTTCTTGGGACGGAAGCACTTGGAATTATAACTGCATAAGCTCTTAAACATGCTGCTCACTTAGGTGAATAAAATAGACAATGCAATTTTCAATACATTTACATTGTGGGGAAGTGGATGAAAATATATTGAAGGAGGTTGAAGAAATAGGGTGGATCAATGTTGGAATTTCCGGTCAGGAAGACAGATTTTGACCTTGATATTTTGGGAGCTGGGGGGGCGGGGGGTGCAAATGATGATTCATGAAGATGAGTAATAGTGTCCGAAGAGAAATGTGTGGCTGATATCAGTCAATTTCTCGGTCATGTGTCTGAAACCCTCTGTACACACAGTTGTATTTGATGGCATAATGCATTTCCAGACTGCAGTTGGCATTTGTATATCTTTGATCATGCTCTTTTTTGAGCCTTCAATTTCTATTTTGTTGTTTAGTATGTACCCTGCTCGGGCTGACAAGGATCCAGGATTCCTTTATTCTTTCCAGGAATTAAATAGTAATCTCCAGGAAACTATTGCCAGCAACCCAGAGGAAAAGACACTCTTGGGGAAAATAAATAACTGGATGAAAATGAAGGGAAAGAAAACCAAAGTGCAGCCTAGGAGAATGTCACTCTGCCCTTCCTTGGTCGATAACCATTTCACTGGTTAGTATTTGGTACTGCAAGGTGCCCTGTCCAGTTTCACATACCTGGCAACAGTCGATGGCCAGGTGCCAGAACAAGTTTCCAGGACTTGTGATAGTTGTGTGAGCCACGTTGAGTGGGCTACAGCACTGTAATAGCACCAGCTGTCCGGTGAATGACTGTCTTCCTAATAATGCTCATCACGTAAGGAGTGGACAAAGTTTTAGACCTCAGACAGCCAGTCAATAGAAGAGAGAACAGGAGCCTAGTCTTTATCCATTAAAAGCTCCAATTTACAGGGACACAAAATAGGCAAGGGAGATCAAGGTATCACCAACAGTGCCTTTGCAAAATATTCCAAATATGATGGCAAAAGGGTGACTCAGCAGTTGTGTCCTCTTCCAAACTAACTTAACCACTATTGAGACTGGAATCACTCAAAACCATTTCCCCTGGAGAAGACATGTCCTTCGTCTGCCTGACACCAGGCTCCCAAAGCAACAGCCGCAGCAAGAGACCTATAAGGAATACTCTCCAATATCCCTGAGGAGGTCAAAGCTACCTGATCACTCAGGCACATGACCGAGATGGAAAAGGTTCACTGAGGAAAGCACTAAACACATCAAGAGACTTCATCACGAGCGGTCAGAGATGATATTAAGGCATCAAAAGGCGTGCAAAGGCTTCCAGAAAAAAAAATTGACCCATCCCTTTAAGCACCACCATGTGGCAGAGTCTGAGGATCACACATTAGACTTAGCAACTTTCTCAGAACCTGTGGACATAGTGAAAGTAATTCTTCAATCTTGTAAAACTGCCTAAGAAGACACCACTTAAATTGCTCATATCCAGATGTATGAACACAGGCGAAATTCCAATTAATGTACCTAAAGGGTAGAAGGTTTAGATGGGGTGTGAGGAAAAACCTTTTCACCCGGGGTGGGAATCTGAAACTCTCTGCCTGTAAGGATGGTAGTGGTAGGAACTCTTAAAATTTACAAAGTATTCCAATGTACTTGTGATGCCAAGGTATACAAGGCTATGGTCCAAGTGCTGGAAAACGGGATTAGAATAATTAGGGATAGTAGGAACTGCTGATGCTGGAGTCTGAGATACAAAGTGTAGAGCTGGATGAACACAGCAGGCCAGGCAGCATCACAGGAACAGGAAAGCTGACGTTTCGGATCTGGACCCTTCTTCAGAATAATTAGTGCTGTTTTTGACTGGTGCTGACTCGATGGGCCAAACGGGCCTTTTTCCCTAAGCCTATTGCTGTACACCTCTATGCCTGTATGTCTGTGTCACCTGATCACAAATAAATCCCATTGACAAGTAAGAAGAAACTCCACCTCCAGAAGTTCATACCAGAAAGACTGGGTTTGCTGTCCATCAAAACTGTTGCAGATTCTCAGGGTCCTACTCTCTGAATGAACAACAATGAATAATGATCCAAATTAGCTGACGTGGAAAGCTTGAGGCCATGAGTTCAACATGACACAAAAGCCTCAATTGAATTGGCAGTGGAAAATCTCCCTTTAGAGTTTGAATTAAGAACAGAGAGAATTTTTAAAGCCATTTATGTGTCCAAAACCGCTGAAATGTTAAGGCAAAACAATCAAATCCCCCAAGGGATTAATAGCTCTTCACAAAAAATGCAAATCATTGAAGAAAAGATACCAAAATTAACTTGGGTAGATTAGAAACCCAAGTCGCGTCTCTGACTCTAACACAGAAGGGAAGAAATATGGGTTTTCAACATATAAATCAAAGTACTACGATTTACTAACAGCTATTATGTTTCTTTTAAAATGAAAGTGCTGAAGTATAATTAAAATACCATTAAAAGATTTGATAAATTTCCATATAAAGCTTCATCATTAATTTTGGATATAATTGGCATTTTATTGCTGCTTTGATTAGATTTGTAGTTTAATATCTCATGTTAGTGCAAATGCAGGGAAATTTTAATTCTACCTGATATTGGGTATCTGCAATCTCCCTTTTGAAAAGCTGGGCAAGTTATAATTCAACCATAAATTCTACTGCTACCAAATGACATTGAAAATTTGTACAGGGGACTGAGGTATTTGTTACAAATCCTCATACAGTAGAGAGTCACAGAAATTTAGAATTTCCTGTGGCCAACTCACAGCTCCTGCCATGAGTTAGATATGTCTCTGTGCCTTTCAGCTGAAAGCATTTGTCCACATTATTACTGGAAGTGTGTGATGATAATGGGGGCACAGCAAGAGACAACAGGGTATCTTGGGCCTGAGTGAACAGGCAACCAATAGTATATCTGTTCAAGCGATGGAATTTATAAACTGAGGAAAACAAACAGGGGAAGAACTGAGAAGGTGGTGAACTAAAGTTGGGGAAGTCAAAGTTACATAAGGTGCAGCAAGAGAAATAAGAGAGGGAAGAAGAAACATTTAGAGTTAGAGAGAAAGAAAGAAAGGGTCAGAGATGAAAAATAAGAAAACAATCATTATAAATTAAAATTTGACCTTTCTAAAATTTCCCACAAAAAGTCAAAATTTGAAGGAGGGAGCTTCAGATTGGGAACAGTTAATTTTCTGATCCACAGAAATTGATGATAATTAACAATTATTTCAACAATAAAATGATACTTTATACTAAAATGGTACTAAACAAAAAAAAACAAAGAACTGCTGATGCTAGAAATCAGAAACAAAAACAGAAATTGCTGGAAAATTCCAGAGATCTGGCAGCATTTGTAGAGAGAAAGCAGAATTCATTGTCTGGGTCCAGTGACCCTTCTTCAGAACTTTGTGAAGGAGGGTCACTGGACCTGAGAAGTTAATTCTGCTTTCTCTCCACCGGTGCTGCCAGACCTGCTGAGTTTTTCCAGCGATTTGTGTTTTTGTATTAAGAAGGTACTTCTGTTTGTAATTGTTGGTCCTAAATATCTGTTGGGTTTACTTTATATGTAGAAAATTATGACATGAAAACTGGCAACAGTGAGGCAGACCGTGTAATGTTGCCTTTGTGAAATTAACAGGAGAGTGGATCAATGTTGACAGTAATATTTGGGAATTTGCATTTGTTCTTTGGCTGATGTTGCTGGACCATCGATGATTAACCAGCAGTGAATGCCACTAACATGTCATGTGTACTCTCTCTGAAGCCAGGTTCTTGGTTCATTGTCTGATGATGCTTCGTCTTGAGCAATTTTCTTTGCAGTTTCCTGTTGCCATTGGCTAATGCTTTGTCATTGTTTTTCACTCCGAGGTGCAGGGTGAGGAGGGCAGATCTTAAGTCTTCGTTAGCCGTGACGGGAATTGCATCCATGTTGTGGACACTTTTCCGCATCGCATGCTAGCCATTCAGCCAACTGATCTATCCAGTCTCCAAGCAACATTAGCCTCATCATTATTTTGAAAGCAAAGTGTGTCCCATTATCTCATTTTGTAATCTGCAAATGATTTCAGGGAACCACTCCAAAGCTCAGTGACAGGCATCTGAATGGATGTAAATATGTAGATTTGTTGCCTTCAGCATTTTATAATGCATATAAACATACTAAGTAAGCTTTTTTAGAAATGAGATATGCAATGTATGACACAGATCTTTTATCAGCTTCTATCACCCTGGAGAACAGTAGAATTTTATTAAAGAATATCTTTGCCAAACATTGGGCAATATTGTACATTGATGAATAACCTCATTTGGAGATCAGAATCTTAAAGCTTTATAGATGCAAAATTACCAATATGGGAATTATTTTGTTTTTCTCTAATACTTACATCTGTCTCTGCAACTCATTTTCCTGTGTCGGAAAAATCTACAGCTATGGTGTGCAGTGAGTAAAAATGTAAGGGAAGATTTTCTGTTTGAATATTTTTGGTTGGTGACTTAGCAACAATCATATAAATCTATCAGCAGACTTCATGAATTTTATATATCTTATAATTGCAATATTTGAAATGACCATTGGGAAATTAGTTTGAATTATTTCTAAGTTAATTTCTGAACAACTAACTGACCCAAACTGCCCTGGACAAATTGATCTGGGCGATAGCACATCAGCTGCAAATACTAAAGAATGTTTTCTCAAACCAAATAAGCACTCAAACTATTTTGGAGGAGTTTTCGTTTTGCATATTTATTTGGAGAATAGAAAGAAGCTAGTGTGAAATGGGCCAGCAATATGTTAACCCTTGTTGGATGCTGTCACAAATAATCCTACAATTGCTTCTGATTCAAATGCCCTTAATCCACTTTAGATAAACAGAGGGTAACTTGGCAGCCAACTGAGCAATATACCACATTTGAGGTATTTCTTTTTGATGAGTGTGATTTCATCTAAATCCCAAACAGATTTAAATAAAAACATTTAGTGCTGGATATACTTACAGATCTGCCAACATCTGCTGAGAGAGGAAATATGTTAATATTTCAGGTTGAGGTTTCATCTGCCTGTTTCTCTCAACATAGGTGTTGCCAATTCTGCTGAGTATTTCCAGCATTTTTAGCTTCTATTTCAGATATCCAGTATATGTAATACTTCACTTTTCCAAAATAATTCTAGTCTGATCAATCAAGTCAGTTTAGTTTGTGTAACTGAAGTCATCATCACAAGGCATTCATCCATATCCCTGAAGAATGGATTTTATCTGTTCATGTTGTTTGAGGGTCATCCTGGTTGAATTGAAGACCAGAGGTTTGTAGGGTCCTATATAGAATGTAGGAGGTCTTGTGCAGTGTGTAGTGTCCCTGCCTCTGGGCCAGACACGATCAGTTGGTGTCCAACCCAGGACTTGATTGTCAAGCAAGGTGAATTCATAATATCAGCCAACCTGAAAGTCCTGACAACACACACTTCAATGGCAAGCAGTAAGGATGGGAGAGATTCCTGGTCACATGTGATGGAAAGAACATTAGAACTTGAACCATCACTGTTGATAGCTCCGGACTACAACCCGAAAGTGAATGTGTATGTTGCCATAGCAATTTGTACCTACTGAGTGAACTGTAACACATCACATGGACATTGTCCAAATTGGTCATAAATTGTGCCAAATAACATGCATAGCTGTGACTTTGCCTAACTCACTGGGACGCTAGAGTTTGAGGGTTGGTGACACAGTTTTTTGACAGAGGCTAACAAGTACAGCCTCACTTGCTGTTCCAAATTGGCACAAAACGCCAGCTTGAAGATTCAGCAGCCTTGGTAAACTTGTTGAAAAATGAATACACAGTTTTACAAATCCCAAAGTGCAGGCACAAATTTTTAATTTCTCCTGCTCTCCAGCCTATCACAGACCTTCCCCTTTTGTTCTTCTTCCCACCTTTTCACCTTTGGTTTGCTCACAGTCCATTACATTTCTAACTGTTCTCAGTTCAGATAAAAGGCCAGAAATCTGTAATATAAATTCTGTTTCTCTCCCAACATGCTGAGCGTTTCTAGTCACTTCTGTGTTCTTTATTATCATAAGGATGCTTCTACCTATGAATAGGGAAAGAAGAGGAAAGTTAGAAAAGAAAATTGAGCAGAGAATAAAATAAGTTGACAATTCTCCAATGTTTGTCTTTTGCAAAGTCAATTATCACACTGAGTTAGAAAATACTTTCTACCCAGAATACAGAACGTACAAATAAAACTGGTGAGAGATTAATTGCGGGTGTATTTCATGTGCTATTGTACATAAGGAGACTGAAAGGGAGATTTTATGTTCCAGGGGAAAAGGTAAAGGAGCCTGCTGCAATTTCCACAGCTGAACTGTCTGACTCACTCAGAGAAAGAGGAAGATAACAACAGGAAAGATTACTTGATTTATCATATCAATGCAGCACCACACTTTTAAAACATTTCTTGCCGCAAGAAATGTGCTGTGCCAAAAATACCAAGAAGCCAATTTGTCTAGTGAAGATGCTAAATGTTGCTCAACCTCACAGTCAGATACTCTGTTTCGCTTTGAGTGTTCAATATAATTCAACTCACCAAACAGGGAATTGTAAAGGAATTAGAAGACAAACAGCAATGAAACTTTAAACATTGCTTAATTGAGCAGTTACTTAATAATTTAAATCTTCATGCATATTCATTTAGCTAACAGAATATATTAATTTAACAGTTTTGAACCCATATCATTTATAATACATTATAAATATTCATCAATTTTCTTCACTACCATCATGATCTTTGCTTTACAAATGACTTTGGTTTTAAAGTTTGAAAGCACAATTCGATTTCTTTCATACTTTTAAACATTGTAGTACTGTATTCATGTCATTCTCTTTTTCTTATATTATAAATGAAGAGTGTTGAGCAGAAATAGTTTAACTCTGTCCTCATGCTGCACTCCATGCCACTTAGGGAACCCACAAGTGGTTGGGTGCAGGAACGGTAGCAGTGCCACCTAGTCAGTAGACTATTAACTCTAATGCTTAGTGCTAATGTATGATAGAGCAATCTCAAGGGAGCTTCTTTCTGTTTCTAACCATGTGTTCTTTTGTAACTGAGTTGAAAATTGGGAGAAATGAATTTAGGGCAGTTACTAGCAAATCCAGCACTAAATTTTCTTCATCCAGAGAGTGTTTAGATTGTCAAGCTCATAGTTGAGGTGAATAGTGCTGATGCCTTTAAGGGGAAACAAGATAAACACAAGATGGAGAAAGGAGTAGAAGGACTTTGCTGATGGGTTAGACAAAGACAAATCAAAGAAGATTTAGGTGGAATATAAGCACATGCTCAGACTAGTTGGGCTGATTGACCTGCTCTCGTGCTGTAAACCTCATGCAATTCTTTCCAAAACCTGAACTGGTTTGATCCAAAGATTGTGGTCTTGAAATGGAAAGTATTCCATTCTTTCATAGGCAACATTCCACACTTTGATGAGTACAGCACTCAATGGAAAAAAGACATTAATTTGTCACAGGCTCCTGTAGCCACATTGTGAACACACCCTCGGCTCCAAGCAAACATAGCAGGGCGATACAAGTTCTTTGATGCAAAATGAGAACCTGGGTGAAGATCAAAGTTCAGTGTTTCAGTATTAGAGTAACTAATGCCTTTTTCTTGCTGCTCTTTTAAGCCTGAATAGTGCTGATCAATTTATTGTGTAACTTTTAACGTGAAGCTATCTTTATTTCCAAAATGGCTTTCTTTTGCATATCTCTCAGAAGTTATTACAATCATAACATCACAATAACAGAAGACTTCTTTAAGTTTAATGTTTCTATTAAATGTAGTTTATTTATGAATAAAAAAAATCAATAAGAATGAAAACGTTTTTGCATTACACAAAATGGCCCATGTCTCATCACATGACACTATTATGAGTGATGCAGTTGCTATGCTTCAGTTTTCTCAATGCATGCACAACATTTACTTTTGGTTTTGGCATGCAGAAGTTAAATTTAACATCTATGAACCACTGGTTAAACTGTCTGCAGATAGAACAAACAAGCTTGATGTATCAATAACATCCACATTTGCTTTTTGGAATCCTGTCTTCTAATAACATTGCAGCCAATTCTCAAGGAGCAAAACAGAATTTGTAGAATGCTAACCATCAAAAATAAATTGCTGCAGCAAATTTTCATTATACTGTTACATAGTAAAAAATAGTTTTGCACGTTCCCTCGGCCAGCTGTGCATTGGAAACAGAAGCTTTGAGCATTCTTAATTGAGACTCAGATTTATAACTACAGAAGCATGAAGCCCGTGTTCCACCTTTATGACAGGCGTTTCTGCTGTGTAAAACTGTCTTCTTACATGATATTTTCCCATGATATTTTCTCATTGTTTGTTCTACATCAGGGCTTCCAAATGTGGGGGTTGGGAGCCCAACTGAGGTTTTGAGCTGAAACTTTTGGCTCCTGAACCTAGAGGCAGTAAATGGCTGCTGTTGAGCTCTGATCAAGTTATAACAGCTTGGTCCCATTCTAATAGGTCCCTGCTCCCAAAACCCCACACCCTCTTCTCAAAGGTCCTGATGACCGGTCTCGTTATGGCAGTCCCAACAATACAAGGGGAAATAGTTTAGGAAGTACTGTTCTCCATTGTGTATCACAGATGTGAAAGATTGATTGAAATATTGTTCTTCATTTTGATCATTTATGCAAGAAGAGCTACAGATGCCAAGCAGATACACATGTATGTAGTGGTAGTGTCACCATACTAACAAACCAAAGGCCTGGGCTAATGCTCTGGCAAGAAAAGCAAAATACTGCAGATACTGGAAATCTGAAACAAACATGGAAAGTGTTGGAGAAACTCAGCAGGTCTACAGCATGCATGCAGAGAGAAACAGAGTTAATGTTTTGTGTCTGATATGACTTTTCTTCTAAGTAGAATGCTCTGGGGATATGAGTTCAAGTCCCACCACCATTGTGGAATTTAAATTCAATCAATCAATAAATCTGGAATTGAAAACATACCTCATAGCAATCAGTCAACCATTGTTGATTTCTTCAAATCTCACTCCATTCACTAATGTCCTTTAATGAAGGAAGTCTGCAATCTTTACCTGATCTGGCCTACATGTGACTCCCACAACCACAGCTGATTCTTTGCCCTTGGACAATCAGAGATGGGCAATAAATGCTGATGTCGTTTGCAACACCCACATCCCATGAATTAATTAAAAAAAAGAACTTCAGTATCAATAGATGTGAGCTGGTATGCATTGCTGGTAGAAACAAGGAAAGTAAATGTCTAAGTGGGTTAGCAGATGGATGATAGAGAAGAGTACAGGTACAGAAAATGCTGAAACCAGAGCTGTAGTTTAATTGCTGGAGCAGAGAGGCTGACGTTTCGGGCCTAGACCCTTCATCAGAAAAGGGGGAGGGGAAGGGCGTTTTGAAATAAATAGGGAGAGAGTGGGAGGCGGATGGAAGAGGGATAGAGGAGAGGATAGGTGGAGAGGAAACAAACAGGTCGAAGAGGCGGGGATGGAGCCAGGAAAGGTGAGTGTAGGTAGGGAGTTAGGAAGGGGATAGGTCAGTCCAGGGAGGACGGACAGGTCGAGGGGGCGGGATGAGGTTGGTCAGTAGGAGATGGAGGTG